CGGTACAAACAAAGTGGCAAACTGCACGTGAAAGATAAACGAAAGGTACTTGCCTTCGTCGTTCTAGGGAAAGAAGGTGGCCAGCAAACGCTGAATCACACCGATATTCGCCATAAATCATCGCAGATACTGACGAAGAATAAAAGCGGCAGTCTAGCAAAATCCTTCAATGGCCTTTTTACCAAAACGTTACTCCCTCAGAAACTGAAGTGTAAATCCTCTTCCGACCACTTGAAGATCGCCGACCGCCTCAAGAAGACATCACACTGCATCACAACATCCACGGAAATTCACTCAAAACATCGAACACGAGCCAAAATCTACATGTAAATAATCTACAACAGTCAATTGACTTATAACCGCTATCAAAAGAATAGACCACTCAAGGATGACAGAGATATTTTTCGATAAAGTTACGAATACGTCCTCACCGACAACTTTGAAAGTTTGAGGCTAAAACTTTCAAACTTTTTCGTGACCGCACGCGCATGCGCGACCGTGACGTAGCCCCTTTAAGCCCCTGGCAAAGATAAGAGTTTCAGGAGCATGCATTGCTATGAAAGTTTTACCTGTCAACAGGTGCCAGCATCCTGACATTGTTGACCATCTGTGACTTCTCCAGACTTCTGCCTAAAAGGAAGGAGAAAACATTGACTGGTGGCTTTGTTTAGCAGTGAAAATATCAGTGTTAGAGACCTGGACATTCTAAATGGACAGAAGTAAACTTTGATAGCACTCTTTACCCCTCAAAATGGTGGTAATGTTTGCATGGCCATATCATACCGATGGTTTAAGGTAGAAAAAGGTACATTTTGATGGAAGAGGGAAAAGGGTCGCTTCTCCTCTGAATTATTACTATATGAAAAGAAAAAATAGTTATTTGGACAAGCAATCTTTCACATCTAGCTGCTGCTTATGATGAAGATAGCATGGTTAGCCATGTCACTTGGATTGCTGGTTTCTCGGTCTAAGAAGGGTCTGAAGAAGGGTCCTTCACCATCACACTTCTTTTCCACGTAGTTCAAATTTGCCTTTTACCTTTCCATTAGACAGCAATGTGGTCCAGACACTAAAGGTATTTAATTGCTCTGTTGCTCTGGAAACAGTGACTGGAAACCTAACTAATGACCAAAGTAAAAGTGATTACAAGTGGCTGATTAATCAACATTTTCTAACCTCAACTGTGGTTCTGTCAGAAAGCGTGCCGTTGTTGCAGGTGCTTCGTCCTAGGACCAAGAGAGAATTAGTCCTTTAGTAGTTGTGTCACCATTGGTCTGGGTTAAAAGTCATGGGGAAACGTTCCTCGAGTGAAGTATTCCCTTAACCAACCATTGCCCAAAGAGGATACATTCAGGAGATGATAAATCAGCAGTAATGAGATTGGATGGAAAAATATGGGATTTACTCTGTAACCATATACTTATTGTTTAATACTCACAGGAGGTTGTGGAAAGGAGATATCTTCCTGGTCCCTGAAAAATATTAATCCTGGGAATCAACCATTACTAAGAGATTTTAATGTGACTGTTAAATCGTCATACGCCTACTTTGCATGCTGCTGTTGTACCTCTTAGTGCACCTGCTTCGTCCTAGTAACAAAATAACTGCAACTGCTTGTTGCATACAAGGAAAACATCCTGGGATGTGTCGATAGTTGTAAATGTGATTAACCTTACCACTCTTTTTGCTTTTCCGCCACATATAACTTCCTGTGTCCGTATAAAACTACATGCACCTACCTTGTGTACTGTTGTCCTATGTTGGCTACTTCTCCCTGTACCAAGGCAGAAAACGTTCATTCTTAGTATCTGAGTCATTATTGAAGTAAGAAGAAATTTGAAAGGACATGTTTCGTCTAGAATTCTAATACTTACAAGTAGGCGTGACATCTCGACATAATGCATGATCCTGGTAAAAAAACGACAAAATTGGTAAACGTGATCGGTGGAAGAAAAGGAAACGGGCATTTGGGTCAGTTGTTATTTTCTTCAAAAGTGCTGTGTTAGGTATACAATCCATTGAAATCATGCATGTAGGACTATTAGTAGAGATTGGTAGAGACTATGTTTTAGTGTTTTCTGGTTTATTATCTCACTACAAACTACAAACTGTGTCTGTATAAAGCTACATGCACTTACCTTGTGTACTGTTGTCTTCTTGTAAGTGTGCTGTCCTAGAACCAAGACAAAATTACTCTTTTGGTAAGTGTGTCAAGCTATGTTTGGGTAGAACGTTGTAGTGAAACTCCTGAGACATAGCATAGCCACAAAGAGGCAAGTTTCAGGAGATGAAGAAAGACCTGCACAAATGAGATATGACGGTCGAATATGGAATTAACATTATTACCATGTAATGATTGTTTCATACTCACATGTAACCTTGAAAAGGAAACACCACGGTAGCTGGTCCTGGCCCTGGCCCTGGCCCTGGTCCTGGTCCTGGCCCTGGCCCTGGTTTGAGAATCAAGAAAGTGCAGTCTTTCACATTTTATATACTTTGAAGCTACTGCCTAGCAGTCCGTTCAAGGCATGCATATGGTGGATGGAGAAATGAAGAGGAGTTTTAGATTCTTTGTCATTGACAAAACCATTGTTTGTTATCTGCACTGAAGAGCAGTAGTACTCCATAATGGTATTATTTTGTAGTCTCCCAGCACCTATACTCCTCATTTGCTCTTAACTTTTTTGTTTTGCAACTGCTTGTTGCATACACCGAAAACATCCTAGGACATTGATTTGCTTTTCTGCCACATATAACTCCCTTAGAATTACGTTCAAGCTAATCCGCAGTAATGACATCAATTGTATGTACTGTGCATACCTTACGGGCTGCTCTGACATCAGGTCTTGTCCTATGTTGGCTACTTCTCCCTGTAGCACAAGGCAGAAAAGGTTGATTCTTAATATCCGAGCCATTACTGAAGTGAGAAAAAAGTTGAAAGGAAATGTTTTATATAGAGTTCTAATACTTACAAGAAGGCGTGATATCACGACATAATGCAGAACCCTGGTAGTAAAAAGAAACGACAAAAATTTGTAAACGTCATCAGTGGAGCAAAAGGAAACTGGCATTTGGGTCAGTCGTTATTCGAACTTCTCGTAAACTTCTCTTAAACTTCTATTGTGTGGAATATCAAAGCTTGACAGAAATCACTAGGATGTATTGTTGGTGCACCTGGAAGGTATAATTGTAAATTCTGAAGCAGAGACTGAAAGTCTCGATAATGACCAGGAACGGGATCTTGTAAGACTGAGTAATCAACATGTTCATACCTTAATTGTGGTTGTTGCAGAACCTGTGTTCTTATGGCAGTCTCGTCCTAGGGAAAAGACACAAATTGTATATTGTTATTAATTATGGCCAAGGCCAATCCCAAGCCCAGATGAGAAAGGAGGAGGGTTGGGCGTGAGGTTAGTAACCATCCTGTAAAACAGCTCCTTGCAACAGAAACACGTTCAAGAATCACTCAAGATACCTCAGCTCTTGGGAGAGGATGACCTTCACAAAGAGGATGGATGATGCCTCATGGTGAAAGCCGCAGCACTCTGGAAGCTACAAGGCCGAACATCCTTCTCGGGAAAAGAGCTATCAGGATGGGAACTTGGAATGTCAGAACTAAGTATGAAACAGGAAAGACTTCCCAAGTTGCGGCAGAGGTGAGGGCCAAGAGAGGTGAGACAAGATGGACTCAATTCGGCTGAAAGAAACTGAATTCGGGTGAGTTGCTGTATTGAGGACATAAGGATGAGGGCAGCCCGCATGCAAAATGAGTGGCCCTGATGCTATCAAAAGCAGCACAGAAGGCGCTCATTGGATGGGCAGCGCATGGGCCGAGAATAATCGCAGCCTTCTTCCATACCAAGGAGAGGGGAATTAGCATGAATGTAATACAGTGCTGCACTCCCACAAATGACAGGGAAGATGAAGTTAAGGATCATTTCTACAATATACTGCAGTCGGTGACTGATACCTTTCCAGAAAGAGATGTCACCACTTGGATGGGCATTTTAACGCCAAGATAGGCAGTGACAACACTGGATATGAGGAGGTAATTGGGCAGCATGGGCTTTGCGTTATGAATGACAATGGGGATAGACTGGCAGACCTGTGTGCTCTTAACAAGCTGGTGTTAGGTGGTTCAGTGTTTCCTCACAGAAGGCTTTACAAGGCAACGTGGCAGTCACCAGATCAGTCGACAGAAAACCAGATTGACCACTTTTGCATTGGTGAGAAATTTAGAAGATCACTTCAGGATGTGAGAGTGAAAAGGAGTGCAGATGTTGCCTTAGATCATCATCTAGTTGTTGCAAATCTCAAGCTGGAACTGAAGAAGAACTGGAGAAGTGTAGTACCTCAACGAAATAGGTATGGCATCGGTTGTTTGAAGGATGTACGAAAGCTTGAAGAGTTCAGGGTCACAGTCAAGAATAGGTATTAAATACTCCAGGATTTTAATGAAGACGATGACACTCTTGATAGTACTTGGAGGGTGATTAAGGAGTCCTTCGTGTGAGCTTGTGAGGAGGTGCTCGGCCCCAAGAAATGCCACCACAAAGATTGGATTTCTGCAGAAAACACTTAGCAAGATTAGGGTGAGAGAGGTCAACTCCAGCAGAACAAGAGCCGAGAAATTCAAGGCACAGAAAGAACCCTCAATTGCTAACAAGAACACCAAGACGAGCATCAGGAAATTCAGGACTCCAGAAAGACCAGTAAAGGATAAAGCAGGTAGACAAATTGTGGGGGAGGAACAGCAAAGGAAGAGACGGGTAGAACAATTTGAGGAGTTGCTCAACAGACCAGCTCCACAAAACCCACCTGACATCTTGCCAGCAGCCGAAGACCTGGATATAGAGAGTGGTGTCGCGAACGCGATTTTGTTTATTTACTAACACAACGACTGATTTGACATGGAGGAAAAGACTCTCGCTTCGAGCACATGCTCCGCAGGAGTGGTCACTAAGCCTATAGTCTCGTGGAGTGGTCGCTAGGCCCTCCGCGAGACTCCCCAGCCGAAAAGTTCTAACTGTCAATGTTCTGGATGAAAGGAAATTTCAACGGAACGAAATGGAGTTATTACAGAGAAAAACTGAAAAAAAAAAAAAGGATAACAATTTGTGATCAGGATTAAATGTTCAAGTTTGTTTAGGGCTTGTCTTGCTTAAACAGTTACCCTCCGGATTGGGCGCTCGTTCCCAAGTTTTTGTCTGCTCCTCTGGTGGCTGGCATCATGCTGGTCAACCTCACTTTGGCCGGGCTGGACTGGGGTCTCTCTTTGTTCAGTACATTCCAGTGGGAACAGGAAGCTGAGCGTACGGTTCAGTAACCTTCCTGACGCTGTCCGGACTGTAGCTGCTCTGATTTCACCATCTGTACTTGAAATGAGTTCCTCTACAATGGCTAACTTTCAGGCACCTCGTGGTGAACTTTCCTTTAGAAGTACAACGTCTCCTTTAGTAGGTTGGGTTAAGGATTGTATCCTGGGAGCTTTTAAGTGTTTGTGGGTCCGTTCTCGCAAACTCAGTACATACTCGTCGAACCATAGCTTCCAAAACTTGTCAAGATTTTTCTGACCTTTACGCCACACGTCAAGGAGTTTTTGTGAAGAACTCATCTTGCTAAAGAAATCTGGTTCTTGTTGTCGATCTTCTTCTGCTAAGGATGGTACGCCTGTTTTGGAGTTTAGGCTGAGGAAATCTCCTGGGATGAGTGTGAATCCAGAGCTGAAGTCAGCTTCTACATAGACTAATGGCCAGGAATTGACAATTGCTTCGACCTCTTTTACAACGGTTTCAAGTTGAACCATAGTAAGACAAATCTTTCCAATACTCTTTCGAAGAGACTGCTTTACAAGTGCAATAAGTCTTTCGTAAAAACCACCCATTCAGGGGGCCAGTTTAATGATGAAGTTCCATTTTATGCCTTCGTTGGTCAGGTAACTTTTTGTGTCGGGACTTGTCGTAGAGAGTTGCCATGCTTCCTCAACAGTTGACTTTACTATTTTAAACTGGGAAGCATTGTCGGAAATTATCTGTTTCAGTTTTCCACGTGTGGCAGTGAATCTTCTTAGGCATAACAGGAATTGCTGAGAAGTCATGTCATGAACCCCTGCAGATGCTGAGATCATGAAGAGACATTGGAGATGGGTAGGACACACTCTCCAAAAGCCCTCCACCAACATCAAAAGACAAGCCTTGTCCTGGAACCCCAGGGAAAAATGAAAAGGGGACGGCCAAGGAACTTATGGAGACGAGACCTGGAGGCAGATATCAAGAGGTTGGGGCCGACCTGGAGTCAGCAAGAAAGGGAAGCCCAGGACAGAGATAGCTGAAGGACTCTTGCTTGTGGCCTATGCCACAAGAAGGGCACTAGGCATAAGTAAGTATTAATTATGCAAATCACGTGCTAGTTTGATGAGGTATCTCTATAACGAAGCATTGCCTGACACAAGCAATGATGATCGACAGTAATGAGGCTTAATGGAACGGTATTGAATGAACACAAGCAGCACACATTTGTTGTCTGATACTCACGTATACTCTTGGAAGAGGCACATCATTCCAATTGTTTCTGTATAAACCAAACAGATTGGTGATTTTCAACTTGGTCAGGAATTTTAAATCAGTACTAGCTTGTTACATTCACTAAAGTCATTGGATTTGTATTTTGCATCACTAAGGGAAGCTAAGCAGGTTTCGAGGTAAAATGAATAGAAATGAGTTTTGATTCAACTCCTGGCTACTGCCTTACAATAAAATGAACTGCGCTGGACTTGAAATGAGACCAATAACAAGAGATTCAAGGTGACTCTACGTACCCTGTCTGCTGCTGAAGAACATGCTGCCTTATTGCAGCTGTTTGGTCCTAGAAGCAAGATGAAATTAGTCTAAGAAAACGTGTCAAACACTGTGGGTATAGTAAATCGTTCTATCGTGGTGAGGCACTCTCAAGACAAAGCATGACTCTTTGGAGGCAAGGTTAAGGAGATGATGATCAATCTACAGAAATGAGATTTGATGGGATACTCACCAGTAGTCCTGAAAAGACACCATCCTGATGGTTGGTCCTGGTGGAAGGTCAAACAAATTTATAAACTTCCTGGTAAAATGTACAAATTGGTAAATTTCATGTTGCTTAGATATGACGAAGAGAGATTAGTAGAAAGTTGAAACTTCTTGTAAACTTCTTTTGTGTGGAATATCAAAGCGTGACAGAAATCACTAGCGTGTGTTGTTGGTGCACCTGGAAGGTATAATTTCAAATCCTGAAACAGAGACTGGAAGTCTCAATAACGACCAAAGTGAAAGGGATCATATAAGACTGAGTAATCAATATGTTCCTACCTTAATTGTGGTTGTTGCAGAACCTGTGTAGTTATGGCAGTTTCGTCCTAGGAACAAGACACAAATTGTACATTCCTATTAACCATGCAAATCACTTGCTAGTTTGATGTGTTTGATGATCAACAGTAATGAGGCTTAATGGAACGGTATGGAATCATCAAAAGCAGCACACATTTGTTGTCTGATACTCACGTATGCACTTGGAAGGGGCACATCATTCCAATTGTTTCTGTGTAAAACAAACAGATTGGTGATTTTCAATTTGGTCAGGAATTTTAAATCAGTACTAGCTTGTTACATTCACTAAAGTCATTATATTTGTATTTTGCATCAATGAGGCAAGCTAAGCAGGTTTAGCGGTAAAATGAATAGAAATGAGTTTTGATTGGACTCCTGGCTACTGCCTTACAATAAAATGAACTGCGCTGGACTTGAAATGAGACCAATAACAAGAGATTCAGTGTGACTTTACGTACCCCGTCTGCTGCTGAAGAATATGCTGCCTTATTGCAGCTGTTTGGTCCTAGAAGCAAGATAAAATTAGTCTAAGAAAACGTGTCAAACACTGTGGGTATAGTAAATCGTTCTATCGTGGTGAGGCACTCTCAAGACAAAGCATGACTCTTTGGAGGCAAGGTTAAGGAGATGATGATCAATCTACAGAAATGAGATTTGATGGGATACTCACCAGTAGTCCTGAAAAGACACCATCCTGATGGTTGGTCCTGGTGGAAGGTCAAACAAATTTATAAACTTCCTGGTAAAATGTACAAATTGGTAAATTTCATGTTGCTTAGATATGACGAAGAGAGATTAGTAGAAAGTTGAAACTTCTTGTAAACTTCTTTTGTGTGGAATATCAAAGCGTGACAGAAATCACTAGCGTGTGTTGTTGGTGCACCTGGAAGGTATAATTTCAAATCCTGAAACAGAGACTGGAAGTCTCAATAACGACCAAAGTGAAAGGGATCATATAAGACTGAGTAATCAATATGTTCCTACCTTAATTGTGGTTGTTGCAGAACCTGTGTAGTTATGGCAGTTTCGTCCTAGGAACAAGACACAAATTGTACATTCCTATTAACCATGCAAATCACTTGCTAGTTTGATGTGTTTGATGATCAACAGTAATGAGGCTTAATGGAACGGTATGGAATCATCAAAAGCAGCACACATTTGTTGTCTGATACTCACGTATGCACTTGGAAGGGGCACATCATTCCAATTGTTTCTGTGTAAAACAAACAGATTGGTGATTTTCAATTTGGTCAGGAATTTTAAATCAGTACTAGCTTGTTACATTCACTAAAGTCATTATATTTGTATTTTGCATCAATGAGGCAAGCTAAGCAGGTTTAGCGGTAAAATGAATAGAAATGAGTTTTGATTGGACTCCTGGCTACTGCCTTACAATAAAATGAACTGCGCTGGACTTGAAATGAGACCAATAACAAGAGATTCAGTGTGACTTTACGTACCCCGTCTGCTGCTGAAGAATATGCTGCCTTATTGCAGCTGTTTGGTCCTAGAAGCAAGATAAAATTAGTCTAAGAAAACGTGTCAAACACTGTGGGTATAGTAAATCGTTCTATCGTGGTGAGGCACTCTCAAGACAAAGCATGACTCTTTGGAGGCAAGGTTAAGGAGATGATGATCAATCTACAGAAATGAGATTTGATGGGATACTCACCAGTAGTCCTGAAAAGACACCATCCTGATGGTTGGTCCTGGTGGAAGGTCAAACAAATTTATAAACTTCCTGGTAAAATGTACAAATTGGTAAATTTCATGTTGCTTAGATATGACGAAGAGAGATTAGTAGAAAGTTGAAACTTCTTGTAAACTTCTTTTGTGTGGAATATCAAAGCGTGACAGAAATCACTAGCGTGTGTTGTTGGTGCACCTGGAAGGTATAATTTCAAATCCTGAAACAGAGACTGGAAGTCTCAATAACGACCAAAGTGAAAGGGATCATATAAGACTGAGTAATCAATATGTTCCTACCTTAATTGTGGTTGTTGCAGAACCTGTGTAGTTATGGCAGTTTCGTCCTAGGAACAAGACACAAATTGTACATTCCTATTAACCATGCAAATCACTTGCTAGTTTGATGTGTTTGATGATCAACAGTAATGAGGCTTAATGGAACGGTATGGAATCATCAAAAGCAGCACACATTTGTTGTCTGATACTCACGTATGCACTTGGAAGGGGCACATCATTCCAATTGTTTCTGTGTAAAACAAACAGATTGGTGATTTTCAATTTGGTCAGGAATTTTAAATCAGTACTAGCTTGTTACATTCACTAAAGTCATTATATTTGTATTTTGCATCAATGAGGCAAGCTAAGCAGGTTTAGCGGTAAAATGAATAGAAATGAGTTTTGATTGGACTCCTGGCTACTGCCTTACAATAAAATGAACTGCGCTGGACTTGAAATGAGACCAATAACAAGAGATTCAGTGTGACTTTACGTACCCCGTCTGCTGCTGAAGAATATGCTGCCTTATTGCAGCTGTTTGGTCCTAGAAGCAAGATAAAATTAGTCTAAGAAAACGTGTCAAACACTGTGGGTATAGTAAATCGTTCTATCGTGGTGAGGCACTCTCAAGACAAAGCATGACTCTTTGGAGGCAAGGTTAAGGAGATGATGATCAATCTACAGAAATGAGATTTGATGGGATACTCACCAGTAGTCCTGAAAAGACACCATCCTGATGGTTGGTCCTGGTGGAAGGTCAAACAAATTTATAAACTTCCTGGTAAAATGTACAAATTGGTAAATTTCATGTTGCTTAGATATGACGAAGAGAGATTAGTAGAAAGTTGAAACTTCTTGTAAACTTCTTTTGTGTGGAATATCAAAGCGTGACAGAAATCACTAGCGTGTGTTGTTGGTGCACCTGGAAGGTATAATTTCAAATCCTGAAACAGAGACTGGAAGTCTCAATAACGACCAAAGTGAAAGGGATCATATAAGACTGAGTAATCAATATGTTCCTACCTTAATTGTGGTTGTTGCAGAACCTGTGTAGTTATGGCAGTTTCGTCCTAGGAACAAGACACAAATTGTACATTCCTATTAACCATGCAAATCACTTGCTAGTTTGATGTGTTTGATGATCAACAGTAATGAGGCTTAATGGAACGGTATGGAATCATCAAAAGCAGCACACATTTGTTGTCTGATACTCACGTATGCACTTGGAAGGGGCACATCATTCCAATTGTTTCTGTGTAAAACAAACAGATTGGTGATTTTCAATTTGGTCAGGAATTTTAAATCAGTACTAGCTTGTTACATTCACTAAAGTCATTATATTTGTATTTTGCATCAATGAGGCAAGCTAAGCAGGTTTAGCGGTAAAATGAATAGAAATGAGTTTTGATTGGACTCCTGGCTACTGCCTTACAATAAAATGAACTGCGCTGGACTTGAAATGAGACCAATAACAAGAGATTCAGTGTGACTTTACGTACCCCGTCTGCTGCTGAAGAATATGCTGCCTTATTGCAGCTGTTTGGTCCTAGAAGCAAGATAAAATTAGTCTAAGAAAACGTGTCAAACACTGTGGGTATAGTAAATCGTTCTATCGTGGTGAGGCACTCTCAAGACAAAGCATGACTCTTTGGAGGCAAGGTTAAGGAGATGATGATCAATCTACAGAAATGAGATTTGATGGGATACTCACCAGTAGTCCTGAAAAGACACCATCCTGATGGTTGGTCCTGGTGGAAGGTCAAACAAATTTATAAACTTCCTGGTAAAATGTACAAATTGGTAAATTTCATGTTGCTTAGATATGACGAAGAGAGATTAGTAGAAAGTTGAAACTTCTTGTAAACTTCTTTTGTGTGGAATATCAAAGCGTGACAGAAATCACTAGCGTGTGTTGTTGGTGCACCTGGAAGGTATAATTTCAAATCCTGAAACAGAGACTGGAAGTCTCAATAACGACCAAAGTGAAAGGGATCATATAAGACTGAGTAATCAATATGTTCCTACCTTAATTGTGGTTGTTGCAGAACCTGTGTAGTTATGGCAGTTTCGTCCTAGGAACAAGACACAAATTGTACATTCCTATTAACCATGCAAATCACTTGCTAGTTTGATGTGTTTGATGATCAACAGTAATGAGGCTTAATGGAACGGTATGGAATCATCAAAAGCAGCACACATTTGTTGTCTGATACTCACGTATGCACTTGGAAGGGGCACATCATTCCAATTGTTTCTGTGTAAAACAAACAGATTGGTGATTTTCAATTTGGTCAGGAATTTTAAATCAGTACTAGCTTGTTACATTCACTAAAGTCATTATATTTGTATTTTGCATCAATGAGGCAAGCTAAGCAGGTTTAGCGGTAAAATGAATAGAAATGAGTTTTGATTGGACTCCTGGCTACTGCCTTACAATAAAATGAACTGCGCTGGACTTGAAATGAGACCAATAACAAGAGATTCAGTGTGACTTTACGTACCCCGTCTGCTGCTGAAGAATATGCTGCCTTATTGCAGCTGTTTGGTCCTAGAAGCAAGATAAAATTAGTCTAAGAAAACGTGTCAAACACTGTGGGTATAGTAAATCGTTCTATCGTGGTGAGGCACTCTCAAGACAAAGCATGACTCTTTGGAGGCAAGGTTAAGGAGATGATGATCAATCTACAGAAATGAGATTTGATGGGATACTCACCAGTAGTCCTGAAAAGACACCATCCTGATGGTTGGTCCTGGTGGAAGGTCAAACAAATTTATAAACTTCCTGGTAAAATGTACAAATTGGTAAATTTCATGTTGCTTAGATATGACGAAGAGAGATTAGCAGGAAGTTGAAACTTCTTGTAAACTTCTTTTGTGTGGAATATCAAAGCTTGACATAAATCACTAGGGTGTGTTGTTGGTGCACCTGGAAGGTATAACTGTAAATCCTGAAACAGAGACTGGAAGTCTCAATAACGACCAAAGTGAAAGGGATCATATAAGACTGAGAAATCAACATCTTCCTACCTTAATTGTGGTTGTTGTAGAACCTGTGTTGTTATGGCAGTTTCGTCCTAGGAACAAGACACAAATTGTACATTCTTATTAAATATGCAAATCACGTGCTAGTTTGATGAGGTATCTCTATAACGAAGCATTGCCTGACACAGGCAATGACGATCGACAGTAATGAGGCTTAATGGAACGGTATGGAGTGAACACAAGCAGCACACATTTGTTGTCTGATACTCACGTATGCACTTGGAAGGGGCACATCATTCCGATTGTTTCTGTGTAAAACAAACAGATTGGTGGTTTTCAACTTGGTCAGGAATTTTAAATCAGTACTAGCTTGTTAAATTCACTGAAGTCATTGGATTTGTAGTTTGCATCAATAAGGCGGCACGCTAAGCAGGTTTAGCGGTAAAATGAATAGAAATGAGTTTTGATTGAACTATTGTCTACTGCCTCACAGTAAAATGAACTGTGCTGGACTTGAACTGAGACCAATAACAAGAGATTCAGTGTGACTCTACGTACCCTGTCTGCTGCTGAAGAACATGCTGCCTTATTGCAGCTGTTTGGTTCTAGAAGCAAGATAATAATAGTCTAAGAAAATGTGTCAAACATTGTGGGTATAATAAATCATTCTATTGTGGTGAGGCACTCCCAAGACAAAGCATCTTATCTTAAACGTTATACTTTCAGGTAGATGAAAGGTTTTGTGTAAGGAAGCTCATCACACCTTTGTTTTTGATCAGGGCGAAATTCTACTTCATTCTACTTCAGCGAACTTAAGATGGCATTAAGTTCGAATTACACGCACCTGTATATCTGAAAGAGAATATGGCGTCGCTTCCATTTTTTGTTGTTTTCAACAAGTAGAGCTGGAGAAAATTAAACTGAATGTCCTTTAAGGTTCTATACAAAAGCCCGTCTTGTATTTGCGTTGCTGAATTAGATAATGTCGAAAAGACATTGTGACGTAATCTCGTGTTCCATTGTCTGCCTCGTGTAATCGATGATAGTTCGGTCCTCCCCGAACGACAGTATGCCGAAGGCGTACGTGGAAATTATAACGTATCAATACTATAACTTACCGATATTAAACTAAGAATACGGGTCGTTCTTGATGCATTACTTTGGGTACTTGTCCAGTGCTTTTGAATGTCTTTGTGAAACCACTTGCGCACTCTAGGGGGAAGTCAAAAGTGATGTTTGGGAAATATCGTTTTCCAATGTCAGTTAATTGGCAATTGATACTTCTTTCATTCCCAAAAGATTGGCTAGTACTTTTCTCCTGAGATTCATTTTCTTCCTTGGCAGTTCCAAGCAAAATCGCCTTTCTTCACAAAAGGATGAAAACCGAGTCGTAGTTCCTTGAAAACGACAACCAGGCTTCAGTACTGATCAAAGTAATAATGAACGCAACAGGATGGGCAAGCCGATAGTGACTCAGGAATGTGGATTTAACGCGGTCATGTGATGAGGCATTGTCTTCAGTTACACCCCAAAGGTCGCAAGATGAAAGTAGTAGCAGATGACTGACAAAAGGCCGCATGTTCACGCGAGAATCACTCGACGTTGTCTAAGCTAAACAGAATGCCGTAATATGCTTCTGTGTTAAGGCCGAATTGGTTTCCGCGCAGACAACGCGGAACTTGCCCAATATCGACGTTATTTTGGTGTTTGTGGGGCACTTCATGAACGTGTACGGACTTCTGTGGACGTCATGAAAGATTTGTTTTACTATAGCCAATACCGCCCAATAAATGATAGTACTAAAAGCAAAAATACAAAGAGTAGGACGCCCATTCAGACTTTTAGGCACCTTCACTATTTTAATAACTTAACCCAGACTACGGAAAGCGCTCCTGTGGTTTTAAGTTATTAAATGAGGCATTGACTCGTGGCCTCCTTTGAGTGATGACTTTGCGGATTTAGTCAACTCAAGAATGTGTTTGAATTTGCATTTTTCATACACAGCGGCTTTGTGACGATTTGAAGGTTTAAAAACACCTTTGTCACTGTAACCTCCGTCTTTGGTTCAGCTTCGTAGCCTTTTTTGGACTGATTGATTCAATGATTGTCATTCGCTTGTCTCTCCCAATTAGTTTTCTCTGTGTTGATCCTTGATGTTTTCACTGGAAATGAAATGCTTGATCGATTTCCTTAATTAACAATACCGAATCTAGAAGAAGTCAACCTCTTGTGGCGTGATTGATGCGTCATAAGTAACTGAAGCTAGACAAACATGACCCATGGAATTTTATTTGGTGGATTATTTTAGGCACTGCTGATGCAAATTAATGAATCAGCACGATTATTTATAACTGATGTGGATTTGTTCGATGTGATATGAATAAAATTTTCTGTTTTGTTTTGTTTTTTTTTTTGTTTTTTGTTTTTTGTTTGATAGAGTGGCCACCTCGATAACTTTTACTTTACGCTTAATGGCGTCTTAAGAATTGCTATTGAAAGCTAGAACTGCTGAAAGCTGGAATTTCCGTTCTCTGTCATGCGCGGATGTAAAATGTTTCTTTGCCTTAGTTAAAAGTACCTTTCAGGCCTGTTCATGAGGCAATACATCGAATAAAATGAGACGGTTAGCCCGTAAGCCAATTAAATTGTACAATCTTAGAGAGGAGACGACCTTTAGAAGTTGACTCAAACGTCGAACCTCTCTTTACTAAACTACTGATATCAACATGTTCCTAAGTGAGCGGGTAACAGCAGGGTCTAAGGAGATCCCGGACGGGGCTTTCATTAGCCCGGTCGGCAACATAGGCTGCTCTACGAGTTGCCCTGGTGCCCACGTTTCAAAACGAGGCATGTAGTGCTGGCGCGTAGCTGTTCTGGCCACATGGTTAGTGCTATAAATGTGTTATTAACTTTTGCAGCCTTATGCTTCACTCACAGGGGCAATGAGAATGAGTGGTTAAATCATTTTGTTACTGTACTAGTTTCGAGTGTCCTATGAAATGTGTTTCTGTAGTTGATAGAAGTGTGAATAACTCTGAAACAGCTAAAAGCTAAGCTGGTAACGACAATCCGACATGCATTTGGAATGTGTCACTATATCACGCATATGTTTTGTCTTCCTGGTGAAGTCCATTTGTGCAGGTTTTGCCGATTTTTCTCGCGAAATTGTTTCTCCTGGATGAACATTGAGATGGATGTTAGAAATGTAGCACGATGGAGTAAGCTGTTACAAATGGGCCTGCCTTTAACGTACCTTGTTAAACACATCTCGGGGAGTTTGGTCAAGCCAAATATTAGAGTTGTTGCTCTCCTTCGTTTTGTTGATTGCTAATACAAAAACAAAGGAATGGTTGGCTTAAAAAGAACAATGGAATTTTTTTGCCAGTAATTTGCTGATTTTCTCTCTTGTTGACTAAATGGTGAAACTGATTGTTATGTTTTCTTGTATTCTTATTGCAATGGTTATTGTGTCCTTGGTCGATCTTGAACGATTGGAAAGCGTCTACTTGAGAGTAAGTAGCGATGATATAATTCATTGGCTCATATATAGGCTCGTTTTCAGACCTCATGTATGGTCGTTAGGTAATGAAAAACGTTGGGACGACTCAACAGCTGCGATGGAAACAAGTGGCAGTGATGCTGAGGAGAGTTTCAAAGTGATGTCTCTTTTTCTTGCCTCCATAGCACATTGATGACGATATATCGTCGAATGGAGCCCTGAGAGTGCTCGCTCAGTGGTGTTGAATTGACAGGCAGGGTACCTGCAATAAGGCAGGAATTAAAATTCGAACTGAGAACAGGTTCAGGTTAGTTAAATAGTGAAGTTTAATTGTTCATGTAAGCTAGTAGACTCGACTAATTGGGGATTCGGAAAGGTATCATGCAGTGACTGATGATGCTTCCAGCTACTATGGCGGTTGAATGGGAGAACTGATTACAATGAAATGTTTAGCAAATAGATTCCATGTTGCCGTGCGTCTGTTCAGTAATAGATCACAGATGACGTCAAAATGTGGTAAGAACAAATAAGTGGCACACGAGGCGAT